CCCCCCTCCCTGTGGGGAAAAAAATTCTGATATGTGCACCAATAGGGAGACGGTGCGTGGCTCCTCACTTCCCTATTGGTGCACATAACAAAAGTCATGTGGCTGGGGCGGAGCTCAGGGATTGGATTGGGGGAAGGGGCTCAACTGGGGCACAGGGGTTTGGGGGGCGGCCCGAAAGGTGCCGCTTCGGGCCCGGCCCAGCGAGTCGGTTGAGCCCAGGAACAACGGAAATAGCGGTTAATTTTGAAAAGTGAACGTCGATTGATTTAAACCTAAGATGTTGTCTTACATTCAAATCTGACCCTTTAAAAAGATAAAACATAACGGGTATGTCTGCAGGACGGGGCCAAGTCGAATTAAGACCTGCAGCTTCAGCTACATGAATTGTGTAGATGAAGTTGCTTAATTCAGCTTTTGGCTACGCTGCAGGAAGTCAAAGTAAGAGCCACTCTTCCATCGACTTCCCTCCCTCCTGGTGAAAGCATGGTCACTGCATCAGCCAGAGTGCCCCTCTCACTTCCAATTAGCTGTCTTAACTAGACAGTTAATTCGAACCCTGGAAGAGCGACAGCTTCCATCTTCCTCTACTGTAGACGTACCCAAAGTGAAAAAACACCCAAAAGTGACTAAATTGAAACAAAAAAATCAGGACAAAAATTGTTTTGATCAAATGAAATATTTTGATCGATTTTAAAAGTCCCTTTTTAGTTTTCAGTTCAACAAAATATTTTGAGGTGGGGAATCGTTTGGATTAAATAAAATTTTGGGTTTTTTTCCCATCTGAACCAAAAATCTGTTGTTTGTTAAGCTTCTTTGGCTACATGTTTTTGGCTTCCACATTAGTGTTGCTCATAAGATTTTCATTTGGAAGTTCTACTTAATTGCAACCTGTTCTTATGTTTTCAGAGTTGAAGAAGGCTAGTAAGCGCATGACCTGCCACAAACGATATAAAATTCAGAAAAAGGTAGGTCCCAGTGCCAAATTTGGTATTAAGCATGCTTGGCTATATTTCAGCCCTCATCATAGAATATATAAAGACATATTTTTGTGGTGTTTAGAAACTGTAAATTTCAGCTCTGCATTCAAATTTGGGTGGGGGATTGAATGTAAAGTTTTGAATAGAACCCATTTCTGTTTAAAGCATAACTAAATGAAGGTGCTTGAATGACCAAAATGCTTTTGGAGTGTGGTGTTATTTTTATTTAACTTCTTATATCACAGTAGTACTAGTAACTAGCCGAATAATTTCAAAGCTGTTGGTGTTTCTTGTTTGAATAAACATTCATAAATTGATTATGGCCTGAGTGCAATTTGTATTGTAATGTGAATGCTAGATACTAGTTACAGAGAGGTAGCCATGTTAGTCTGATCTTGCTAAAACAAAAAAAGCAGTCATGTAGTACTTTAAAGACTAATAAGGTATGATATGATCTGAAGAAGTGGGTCTGCCCCACAAAAGCTCATCACCTAATTAAAGACTAACAAGATAGTTTAAGTGCTAGGTATTAATATCCCAGTGCCAAGAATTCACGCATATACAAATCATTTTCTTTTCTAATGCCAAATACCTTGACAAATAATACAAAAATTATGCAATACAGAACTTTTGTGAGTGGACATATGGTTCAACTGCAATGGGAAGTTGCTTTTAAATTTAGGGAACAAATCCACAGTGGCAGAGAGATGGACATAACTTAAGTCTTGGGATCTTTAATTTCTGCAGTAGTCAGGATCTGTTTATTTAAGTACAGCTACATGCTGATTCAGTCTGTAATTGAAAGCCCTTCACTGCAAACACAGAAAAATCGTATATACGTGAATATGAAAGAGAGAGAATGGTGAGGGTCTCTGTATCAAACTGGGTTTGTGACTCCTATACCGGATTTTATTTTTTCTTGCCTATAGGTTCGGGAGCACAACAGAAAACTCAGGAAAGAAGCCAAGAAACGTGGACACAAAAAGCCCAAGAAAGATCCAGGAATTCCCAACGCTGCACCATTTAAGGAACAAGTTCTTCGTGAAGCTGAGCAAAGGAAACAAAGGGTAAATTACAGGTTAGAATAGAATGAAGGGGTTTTGTGCATATTCCCATTCCAGGGAAGCTTGGTATGTATCATGCACTATATATAGTCTTAATAGCTCTTCACTCTAAAATACTACAGATACTTTTCCAATTTAATATATTAGATAACTAGCTATACTAAATCGTGTGAAATTTTTTAGTATTTTGTACTGTAACTGTATAGAAGTAAAATACAAATGTGTGGAATTTTTAGCATAATTAGTTTCCTACAAAGAATAAGATTTCTACATAACCTACACAGCTGTCTTTAAAAAGGAAAAAAATTGCTGAAGACTGCTGTACATAGATATTTGTGGATAGCATTCACTGTCTGCTCATGTTACTACACAGAGGGACCACATCTACCATCATTTAGAAGGTGTCTGTCACTATAGTATTTGTCGGTCTTGGCACCAGAGTTAACTGAGTGCCTCAAAACGTTTAATTGGCAGTGAATGTATCAACTTTTCATCAAGTAAGAGAAGGAGTAGAAATAAGCTTGCATCAGCCAACCAGTTCCTTAAGCTCCCAGCCTTGATTTCTTAATATTTCCATACCAAGATTGAAAGGATAACGGAGACTGAATATTCCCTTTCCTTCAGTGTGACCACACTAGGTCAAGATTAAAACAAAAACAATACTTAAGAGTGAAATCTTGGTCCCATTGATGTTTTGCCATTAAGTCATTGCAACCAGAATTTCACTCCTTATGTGGATAGAGAACTTAGCTTTCTAGGGCGCTTAACCTGGCACAATTCATTAGCACTAAAAACTGCAAAATATTCAAAGAATAATTCTAGGTGGTAATGTGTAGCACTTTTATAGTGCTGCTCTTTATTTCTGAAGCACGTCATAAACAATCCTGATCATAAGTGGAAAGGAAACATACTCTTTAGCTTATGAAATGTTGTCCATCTTGTGTTGCAATTAGCTTGAAGAACTAAAACAGAAGCAGAAACTTGCTAGGCAGAAGAACCTTGAAAAGAAAAGAAAGCTACAAGCTAAAAAGGATGCTACCGAAACAAAGAAACATCCAGAAGAAAAGGTATGTGTTTGTAGTATAATTTTCCTTTTTTTCAAAGAAGCTAGTTCACTTGCAGCACAATAGAAAAGTTTCCATCCTCTCATAAAGCCTAATCCAGCACCCTTTGAAGTCTATGGCAAAATTCCCATTGTTTTCATGTTGGAGCAACAGAAAAGACTTGTTGATATATTTAGTGAGGATATGGCAATTATAATGCACCCGTTTTAATCAAAGTAAATATAGGGTGTCAGTTTTAGTGCTAACATCCATTTTCATGCAGTGTTCAAGAACAATATTGCAAATATCACAGCCTGGCTAGGTCTGAGTCCATTAAGATGTATACGTGTGATAAATGTAATCCTCAAAGTATCTTTTTTCTTAAGACATGTATTCCCGGATTTGTTGCTTTTTCATGTTGTTGGAAATATTGTAGTTCTAACTGTTATTACCTTCTGTTGTGTAAAGACAATATTTTAATTCAAATTCTCTTATCTGCTCCCACCCTCTTTTTATTCAGCAATCGACCATGAAACTAAAAGCACAATCGAACAGACTGCTGGATAAAAATTCAAATAAATCATTTTGCAGAGAACTTAAAAAGGTAGGAACTTTTAATGACCACTTTCTATATTTTGATCAGCATCCAAACACCCATGAAATTGATACTTTCCTTTTCAGGTATTTTGTTTCTATTCAAAGGTGGACATCTTATGGAGTTTAAAGTTTGAGAACAATGCACTTTCAGGGTCCCAGTCTTGTAAAGGTGCTGAGAATTCTCACCTCTCATTGAGGGTAGTCGGCACTTTTCAGCAACATGACTTTTGGACTCAATGAGCATTTTACCAAAGTGCTTCAGGATCAGGTTATTAATTATTAGACTCTAATTCCCAATTAACTAATATCTGCCTGCTTAAAGAAAAAGATAAAGGGGCTTTACTTTTCTGTCCTGCAAGACAGAGCCCTACAGTACCCTTGTATTACTATGTCGTTTTAGCAATAGCAAAGTAATACTGACCTGTGTTAGAGAGAACTAACTGAGAAATCCATTGAGCTGTTGCCAGTAGGATGGTGGGAAAAATTAAATTCTGTGGTATTTTAGTTTTCCTTAAAACCTTTTATCATTTCAGATAACAGTGACAAAGATTTACACACACACAAAGATTGCCCTATTAAAAATTGAATGAAGCAAGTCGATCAGGGCGCAACATTGATCTGTTCTTGATTGACTCTATTTATCTCTGCTACTGTAGAGCAGTGGTGGGGAGCCTCAGGCCCGGGGGCCTGTTGCGGCCCCTGAGGCTCATTGTAATGAGAGGATAGTATTGATGATTTCAAAGATATTCTCTATAATGCTGTTTCTAATCCTGTTTCCACTTCAGGTGATGGAGGTTTCAGATATAGTCCTGCAGGTTTTAGATGCCAGAGATCCCTTGGGCTCTCGGTGCTCCCAGGTAGAACAAATCATTACTCAGTCTGGAGGAAACAAAAAGCTACTATTGGTGTTAAACAAAATTGGTAAGTGAAGCAGTTTGTTCTGTACAGACATTTAGTCACTCATCTGGTCCTGTGTTAGTATATGAGCTATGAGGAAGATATCAACAAAGTCTGAGAGATTACTGATGACTGTAAGATCCAACTCTGAGCTCGCTGTCTTATTCAAGGGTTTACACTTCCCTGTTTTTCTATGTGTTCTCACCTCTTGCTGTGTGACAAGATCCACACAAACAGGTGAAACTGACTATTGAAAGACTTTTTTAATGGTGCGGCTGTTCGCTTAATACACCAAGAGCAAAATGATTCAATTTTAAGGATAGAATAGCCTTCTCACAGGTGACAATCTCATGTACTATACTGGCTGCTATGTTGAATAAAAGCTCTTAAAACTATGTATGATATTTAAGACAGAATCTAATGGAACAGCAAGTTATTCTTTAGATCAGGATAAATTAAGTTCCATACAGTGACATGTGAAGTTCATTAGAGTGAGAAGTCTGAATTCCTTTCCAGATCTGGTACCAAGGGAGAACTTAGAGAAATGGTTACACTATTTGAAGAATGAGTTTCCAACAGTCGCTTTTAAATCCTCAATGCAGCTGAAGGATAGAAGCGTGGTAAGAGCACTGCTGTCTCTCTTGTGTACGACAATCATATATGTGTTGCTGGGTTGAAACATGATGAAAGTCAAGGACTCCTGACAGGAAGGTGAAGATTGCAAGATCCAACTCTGATTTCGCCCAGTTAAAATACAAAGTTTTGTTTCTCTCTGGGTATTTTTGATGTCCGATTGCCTGTGCTCCTGCAGCTGATACTTTTGGATTTTTGGAACGGTGATTAGCAGTCTTGGAACTTTTCTGCTTCTTAGGCTGGGAAAACTTCACGGTAGTTTGTAAATTCTTGCTTCAGTACCACACAGTACTAAGTATAACTAGAAAATAGCACTGAAGCAAGAAGCTAAGGATATATACTAAAGGACACACAAATGGCATCTGCAATGAAAGATTGAGGAAGTTCTCAAATGTAAAATCTTGTCTACATGAGATTATTACATTGGTTTCATTTTAAATCTGTTTTAAAATCAATTTAGTTAAACTGGTTTAAGCCTCTGAATGAACACTTATTTCCATCTCAAGCCTGTGCATTACTAAGATTGGCATTTGGAATTATTGAATGAAGAGTTGGGGTAAAGGAGGAGTTGCCTTCCTACTCACTGCCCATCTCCTATTGGAGTATGGTAATACATAATCTTTTAATTCATATGTGCATTAATTTGAGATACTAATAACACTTGTGTAACACTTTTCATCATAGAGACTTAGTGCTTTGCAAATATATGCTAATCTTCCCTGCCTCCCAGTGAAGTAGATAAGTATCATCTGCATGTTGAAAGTGCAGAAATTCAGGCACAGAGAAGTTAAGGATCAGATTGTGGAGCCCTTAGATTAATAAACAATGGCTCGTGCAAGTGGTCCCATTGAAATCCGTGGGAATTCCCCATTCTGGCTTTCAGTGCCTTTCCCAAAGTCATACAGTGAGACTGCCACACAGACAGGAATGGAAGCACAAGTCCCATTAGTCATTTCACATAGCAAGATCCCTGGTCTTTTGTCCTAACTGCTAGTCAGTACAGACACTTGAATTGAGCCCCTTCCTTCTAGTTGAAAAAATCCTGTAAAGGCCCATGCAATAGAGGGCATGAGTGGGGATGTAGGAGTAAACAAATGTACATTCAGATTTGGGATGTGAACCACTAGTCGACTAGCTAATAAGCAAGTGCTTATTGGATAGTTGGCATGCTAGTTGGCTAGTCGCTTCCCCCTTGCTTGCTGCCTCTATCAGAAAGAGGTAGCAAGGGAGGGGAAAGAGCAGGGTGTGCTTCAAAGTGGCAGTGATGTGTGGAGCCCAGGGTCTGCCACTTTGAAACGCTGCGTGCAACCCTGGGTCAGCTGGGGACTTCCCCTCTGACCCCAGGCTCCATGAAGTGCTGCCGCTTTGAAATGCTGTGTGCAGCCTGACACAGGTTCCCCATGGCGTTTCAAAGCGGCAGCGCCGCATGGAGCCCAGAATCAGCTAGGGACCCTGGGGCTGTTGCTAAACTTCAAAGGCAGAGGTGCCCTTATCGACTAATTGAATAGTCAATGCAAATCTCATCGACTATTTGACTAGCTAATTAATCAAAATGTTACATCCCTAATTTGGATTCATATTTAGCACCTTAAACACATATAGTTAAAATGAGCCCATCCTATGTTTTTACCTTTGATTTCTATAGCAGGAGAAGAAGCTCAGAAAGAAAAGTGCCCACGTTGACTTATCAAGAGGCAGCATGTGCTTTGGAAATGAGTGCCTTTTGAAGCTTCTTCGAGAGTACTGCAAGACTCAAGACAAGACCATTCAAGTTGGGGTGGTAGGTAAGGTGTTTTCTTACAAAGAAATGGTGTAGTCGAACACAAGCTGAGTGATGTCATAGTCAGTGGGTGCTTCTCATATCTTAGGCTTTGAAATACTTTGTGGCCTTTCATGGAACATTCTTAGGTTTGACATGGAACTTGGGATAGCTGCCCCCACTTCCTGCTTATTAGAGATAGCTCTGGTCTACACTAGAGAGTTATTTTGAAATAACATGTGGCGCAACCTCACTACCAAGCCTGTTACTTCAAAATAATAGGCTGGTTATTTTGAAATAACTCCAGCTTTTCATGAGGAATAACACTTATTTCAAACTCATTATTTCAGGAGTTACTATTTTGAAATAAGTTATTTGGAAATAATTTTCCAGTGTAGACATGCCCATATGTGCCTCTAACTTTAGCAACCTACTGAAGATTGAATATATGACCAGCCTACTTATGGGAAGCACACAATCTGATGCTAGTTAATTTATCAGACTGAGGCTACATCTACACTGCAGGCTTCTTGCACAAGAAGCCCTTTGCGCAAGAGTTTTTGTGCAAAAACTTCTTGCACAAGAGCACGTCCACACCTCAAAGTGCATCGCAAAAGTGCGCTTTTGCACATGAGAGCGTCCACACTGCATGGACGCTCTTGCACAAGAAAGCTGTGATGGCCATTCACAGCATGGCCATCAGAGCGCCTGTGCTTTTACTCAGAGGGGTTCCTGGCGCAAGAAACCTCTCTGGAGCATGCACACTTGCCTTTTTGCTCAATAGCTGTAGCGCAAAAGGGAGTTATGCTTCATAAGAAGGAGGTTTACCTACACTGGCAAAAGCCCTCTGTTCTGCTGTTTTACTGCCAATTTACTTGTGCAAAAGCACATTTGAGGTGTGGACGCTCCGCAGGTTATTGTGCAAAAACCTTGCAGTGTAGACATAGCCTGAGTGTTAAATCATGTAGCTCTTCTCAACCAGCATGGCCTCTTTTTACACTGATATGTCCTTACAGTGACTTCATTTGATTAATATAATTTTCGTTATCCTTTTTACTAGAATGAGAAATGAGGATATATACTTTGTCTTACTGTTACAGTGAAGACTTCAGATCCAACTCTGATCTCATTCTGATTCCATGTACTTAAAGCTAGTAATTCTGATCTAATTTACATGGACGAGGGTTCCTTGGTTAACTAATTAAGGTATTTTACCGTGTGTGTGTGTGTGTTTTTTTTTCAGGCTTCCCTAATGTGGGGAAGAGCAGCCTAATCAATAGTCTGAAAGAGGTGCGGGCCTGTAATGTGGGGCCAGTAAGAGGTATTACCAAGTAAGTGTAGTTTGATGAAACCATTGGGGTTAATTTTATAGTTATGATCTGATTACATACATTCCCTAGCTGTTTCAGTTGCTATAATGTTCTCCACTGTCTGATCTGTTCAGACAGGGTAACAGAGCACAGTTCTCTAAACAGCTGCTGCATTTCACAGGTGGACAAAGTGTGCCCCTGCATTTAGTTTTCAAAGTGCAGTGGGATCTCTGTGTGAAATGATCATCTCATTCTGGTGCCTGCTTGTGGCTGGGCATGCTGTAGAAACTCTCTTCCTTCATGTCTGCTGCCTCTTGGGAGAGTCTAGGCGTCTGTGACATGACCTTCTGGCCAGGTCACTTTCAAGTCTCTCCCCTTTTGGGGTAGTCCATAAACAACGCGGAAAATTATCACAAATTGAGTAAGAGAAGAAAGAACGCCTCCCTCTCAGGGTGTACCTGGACTAGACGCTTTTCTTAGGGACAGTCCTTCAGGCAGTGGCTGTCCATACAGATTCTGCCTTTCTTCAGGAGCTGTGGGTTACAGGTCTGTTCTCTTCCTCTTCCCTGATCTGCCCACAAGTGAGCTGTTCTGCTCCCTTTCAACTCTTTCTCCAGCCTGTGCATTTCTTGCAGGTGTGGCAGAGCCCAGAGCAATTTCTTAGTCCCTCAGTGTGGGGTTGGTACACTCCATCATGCTCAGGATAAAAGGCACTAAATGCATTGTGAGTTCTTATTGAAGTTTGTTCCTGAAGAAGCATCTATGAGCCTACTCCACTGGGAGTCAGGATTTATCCTAATGTTGACAGTGCAAGGCGTTAATTGTAGTTTAACATCTTTTATTTTCAATTCTGGAATACTGAGTTTGTGTCTCTAGACACTGCCAGTGCTCTGACACCTGATTTGCAAATAATGAGCCTTGATTTGCATAGAAGAACAGATTGCAGCCTTCAGATGATGTTTAGTCTGCAGAGACTACCAACATGTGATGCTTGGTCTGTGTTTGAGAATTCAGACCTGTGACTTGTAGACTCCTGTGACCACATTTAAAACCACTGCACATGAAGCGCATGATGATGCACTTGAACTGACTCTGCATGAGGAGTTTATATTCAATCCAACACTGAGCTTCATATGGTGCTAGTTCTCATCCTTTACCAGCTGTTTCATGGTGTTTGATTTATGCCGACTTACTGACAGGCTGTTTTCGCTCAAAGGTGCATGCAGACAGTCCATATTGACAAACAAATCAAGATGATAGACAGCCCAAGCATCATTGCAGCCCCTTCCAACTCTGTTCTTGCACTGGCTTTGAGGAGCACCACGGATATTGAAGAATCAGGAAAATTATTAGATGCAGTAAATGCTGTTCTGAAGCATTGCAGTAAACAGCAGGTAAGTTATTGCCTGGCTCCACTACCTTTCTTATCTCATCCTGATGTTGGCAAAGAGATAAAATGCACCAAACCCTCTTAGCTAGCTGCTGCTTCCCAGAGACTCTTCTGACACAGTAAATTTTTATAATGAACTTGATGGAATTTAATTAACTTGGTCACATCATTTTACTAGCAGAGTGAGAAATGAGGATAATTTCAATGTCTTACTGTTATAGTGAAGACGTCAGATCCAACTCTGATCTCATTCTGAGTGCTCAGTGCTTTAAAGCCAATTCTCATCTAATCCCCGCTGAGGTTGACAGTTGTATGTTTGTGGACCACAACAACATGGGGGGGGGGGTGAGAGAGAGGGAGGGGTATACATAAATCAGAACACCGGTAGTAATAGCCCTTTCTGCCACAGCTGCATTTGCTAATGAAATAGCTACTGTTGCTCTCTAATGTATGGTGCCAAAATTTGATTTGTACTTTCATTCCTAAAACCATGAGAGGACTAAATGGACCAGATTCTAAAATGCACCCTTGTCTCTGTTGCATGTTGGTTTCAGATAATGTTGTACTACAACATCCCAGACTTCAGAAACTCTCTGGAATTTTTAACTTTACTTGCACAGAAAAGGGGAATGCTGAAAAAGGGAGGTGTCCCTGACACAGAGAGTGCAGCTAAATTGCTACTTCATGACTGGACAGGGTAAGGATATTTTGATTTTGTTTCAGTATATGAACCTCTTTCACAGTAAACACAGCCTTTTTACGAGTGTCACACCTAAAACTTGTTAGTTTTGGGTACTGACAAATGACATGAGAGTTTTAGCTAAGTAGCTCTCTTCATTCCGATTTAGCATACTACACCAAAGGGGTCCATAGGTGAACTTGCTTGACAGTTAAGCTAAATGTGATGGAGAAAAAGCTACTATTTAATCTTTGGAATTTGCTTAAGCACCTGGATTGAGATTCCTGTTTATGCAGATTTGTAGCAACTTTGCTGAACTCTGCCACCGCAAATCTTCAGCCCAGCTTTGCCATGGTAGTTTTTTCCTTCTGCAAAAGCCCTCCATAGACACGGATGCATGTTTGGTCTGTTGAGATATATATTTATATAGTGGTTCACATTCTCCGTAGAGTTTAGCTAAATAATAGTGTTGAGATTTTATAACTAGTGACTGAGGTGGTTTGCACTGACTTGTCAAAGAAAATCAAGAACTTAATATTGAGATAAAACATGTAATACAGACGTATAGTCAGAATTTTTCTGCTTCAGTTCACATGTAAGTAGTTATAAAAATCTTATGTTGAGATATATGAGAAATCACTTGTTGGGATGTATTTTTATTTTTGGAACACTGAGATGGCTTTAAGAATGTAGTTCGTGGGTTTTCAAATCCATTTTAATTCCAGTATTTTCTTTGCCCAGTGCCAAAGTTAGTTACCATTCATCACTTCCTGCATCGCGGAGTCTTTCACCACATCTCACCGACGAGGTGGTAATGGAAATGCGGCAGGGTTTTAACTTACAGGAGCTGGCAAAGGATAACATGAACACCATTAACGGTGAGACTCATCTTTGAAACTGCAGTTACGGTTTTAGCACACAGCTCTCAAGTAAGAGATCTGTTTTAGAGAGATAAATATAGCTGCAACCTGTATTACGCAAACAAGGAGCCCTGAGGCACTTTGAACACTAATACACATTGCTTGTTTGTTTGTTTATTTCTGGAGTCCTGAGGCACTTTGAACACTAATACACATCGCTTGTTTGTTTATTTCTCTGTCAGACTGAAGTTTCCACTTCATGCATATGTTGAAGTGGGCTCCAGCCCATAAAAGTTTATGCCCAAATAAATGTGTTAGTCTTTAAGGTGCCATAGGACTCGTTTTTCCTTAAACAAACTTACGTGTTTACCCCCTCTGAAATCTGTATTCCACAGACATGCTTACTTGGCCAGTCCTTTGTTTCCAATAATCTGCACACACCTTTTGTTGAGTATTTGAATTTCTATTCTTTGTAGAGCCCTTCCCCTCAAATTCCTTATTTTGCTGAGTAATATTTTAACCAAAATAAATAATAAAATCCAAAGTCTTTGATACTCGGGATGTTGGAGTGTAACCAACTAACTGTTGAACTGATAAGATGACGCTTATCTGTAAATAGCGTCAGTTACACTCAGCCAGCTCCCAGGGAGGCAGCTTCACAGTGGCAGCACAGCAAAGCCTCCTACCTGGGAGCCCGGGGGCTCTGCTTCCAGGGAGGTGGCTTTTCAGCAGTTACCTGTTTAACAGATTTTTAACATCCCTAGTCAATATGGCATTCCTTCCTGTGGGATGTACTACGGTGCTTCCTTGGAGAATTTTTCCTCACTGGCACAATTTCCTTATGATTTTTATAAGGGGTACTAATGTGGCTATCCTGGCCTGGCCCTGACTTGAAAGGCATAACCACCTTGTGGGTCCTTTGTATTTCCTGAAACTTCATTCTGGGGCCCCTCTTATGCAGTCTCCCTTTAGGGCACCTTCTAGTGCTGCTTCTAGAATTAATATTCCTGTAAGATTGGAATAGCTGTGTGGCTCGGGGGGTGGGGGGGGGGGGGGGGGGGTGGGGGGGAGAGAGAGAGAGTGTGTGTGTGTGTGTGTGTGTGTGTGTGTGTGTATCCACACACACACACAATCCCCTCCCCCCCTTTCACTTCAAAATTCTAGGTTCCACGCTGCTGCCAGTTTTAATCAGCATGGTAAAGTTACTAAGTGTTTTGAGTAAGACTGATCTAGTGGCTAAAGGAATCAAGTATTTCCCAGCTATGTTGCTGATTAACTCTAAGTCACTGGACAAGTCACTTAATCTGTCTGCTTGAGTTTTTCCCATAATGAAAAGGTGGGGGGAGCATAAGGAAGCACAATGTAAGTTTCTTTAACTAAATCTATTTGTATGGCAGTTTCTGGTAGTTTGCCTGAGTGCTGTATTGTTAACTGATTGGTGACCATGACTGAATCTTAGAATCAGTTCAGAACTTGGATCCTCACTGCCACATTGCAGGAGATGGGGAAATGTTGATTCACCTCACAGGAAATGGCTCTCCAGATGCACTAAAGGTTTTATAGGTGGCATGCTGGAGGCTGGGGCGGTGTGGAAATGCTAGATAACTAAGAGGGAGGGATTTGGAGTACAAGGGAGGATGTCGGTCAGGGCAAAGGAGGGGCTGTGGGGCACAAGACGCTTGCCTCCAACAGCCCCTGCAAGCAGCTTCTCCATCTTTGCTGCTCCTGGTGGAGATGATGGCAGGGGGTTCTGCTGCAAGCAGGCACAGTGCCACCATCAGCAGACACTGCTCCTGCAGCTCCCTTTAGCCGTGATTGTCAACCAATCAGCACTCAGGGAAGGGAGACAGAGGGAGTGTGCCTGCAGAGCCTCCTGTTCTTTTCTTCACCAGCAACTGCAGAGTTTGGGGGGAGGGAGCCAATGGAGGTGGGTGCCTCCCCCACCTGGCACCCCGAACACCGCCCACAATTCAAGCCCTCTCTGACTTAAACTCCATCCCAGACTTTACCTTGCAGCTCCTCCCAAGCCTCGCCACCTGCCAGCCCTACACCAACCTCACTATAAACCAGATCTTCTGTGCAGATCAGAAATATCTGTTTATTGAGCTTGCTGGTTGGTGAAGTGTTGGATAAAAGGGCTTTTACTGCATATTCATTACATCTGTTAACCTTATTAATACAGGTGTCCAATATCTTTCACAGCTTTAAAATATCCCAATCTGGCGAGCAGTATCACTTTCCAGTCTTCTGGCTTGACAAATGGGACAATAGAAGAAACTGAACTAACAGAGGAAACATCAGACTTGGAAAACATGGAAACTAGTGAAGAAGCAGAGGGATTATCTGAAGATGATCAGGACAGCGATGAGGAAAAAGAAGCTGTTGAACAGGCAAGTCATAACTGATAAAAACCAATCAGTTTCATGGCTTGTAAATGGGAGAGAAGATATAAAATATGGAGGTGGGCTGGAGAAATCACCAAGAGAGCATAGAACCATAGAGCTGGAAAAGACCTCAGAAGGTCATCAAGTCCAGCCCCCTGCTCTAGGCAGGACCAATCCCAACTAAATCAACCCAGCCAGGGCTTTGTCAAGCTGAGACTTAAACACCTCTAGGGATGGAGACTAATTCTCCAGAGAGTCTATTGGTCTGACTACAAAAATGGGGGGAGAAGGTGGAGAAAAGAGGTAGAAAACTTCTTTGTTATGGTCAGGAAAGTGACTATGAATGCAATCATCTCATTTAGACTTGTGCCCTGTGTCCGAATCCAGTTTTTTTCATTTTATTATAAAGTTTTATGGACTTTTAAAAATCAAAGTTTGTTTTACATCTGCAGCTCTGGAAGAGTGAATTGGATTTTATTCTGGCTCATGCATCAACCAAATTGTTAAGTGCCAGTTGTGGAATTTTCAGCAGCATACTATGTTGATGATGCAGGAGGTAGATAGAATCCCACTTTAACCAAGTTTAACCAAGTGACTTTGACAGAATTACTGAGCGAAAAGCTTGGCTAAAAAAATAAGCTTTATGTAGTTCTACTTCTTAAAGCACTGAACAAACAAAAATCACTCAATATAAAATTAGTCATCTTCAACTAACTTCTAGCTCTACTCTTCACTATACAAAATCAAAACATCACCTTAACCTTCTTCTCTGGCAAACAGTTTGGAGACTTAAACAGCACAGCCCAGTTTACCCTGGGAGAATGAGTTTGGTGTGTTATCCTCCCTGTACCTTCCTGAAAAAATGAGTAGTCCTGTGGCAGCTTACAGACTAACAAAAATAGAGATGGTATCATCAGCTTTTGTGCCCAAAACCCACTTCCTCAGATGAGCTGGAAGCAAAGATTTATGGCAGCTTGTCCTGTTTTAAATTTTAAACTTGGCCATGAAATAGTGCTAGCCTTTAGCAGCTTTGGTATGTTAAATCTTCCCACACTGATAAGAAAATGACAGGTTTTGTTCAAGTGCTCAAAATATCAAATCTGACCATATTAATATTTGCACTTTAGAATGACTAGGGCAACTTTTTAAATAAACCACAAGCTGTAACTGGTTTGCTCTTTATAGGAATTCATGATTTAAAGTAATTTGATTGTAGTTTAATTCTTTACCAAGTAGATTTGATTTCCAGCTCTGCTATACCAAGATAGTAACCCCACTGGGAGAGCAGGGAGCATTCACCTCTCCCATATGCTAAACCCATGAATGTTTGGATTTGTAACAATTTAACAGATGGAAAAAAAAAAAACTCGTGTCTAGTCACCATTTCAAAAAAGCTTACTTCTTCCACTCAATCAGTGTTTACTTGTAATTCTCATAGTGAAGTGATCCTTGCCAAACTCTGTTTACTAGTTCAGCATATGCTGCACCATGAAGAATTTACATCCACATCCTAAAAAAAGAAGCTGGGAGGTGAGAGGAGAGATCCAGCAGAATTGAGCAATGCACTGTTGCATGAGCCAGACTAGTTTGAGGCTTTTTCTTTCAAAAATTATCAATGCCATTTGTGGTAATGGAATTGAAATTGTTAACAGAGAACATGCTTTAGGTGTATGTTCTATGTACAAATATTTAATGAAACTCTTCAAAATGGTAATATGAATGGGAATTTGTGCACCTGACAATCAGTTAGCGAAACTATGTAAACAGCACCAGTTCTATGGGAATGGTATATTTGTTGTTCAAGTCTCCCATATAAAGGAAAGTTTTACTGCTGACTGACAGCAACAATACCTCTAATTTTGTTTTAGGAAACTGACATTCAGACAAGCAGCAAAACAAACCCTCAAAAACTGTGTGTGGAGAATGAAAGCTTAGAAAAGCAACTAGCAGGTATGTATTAAAGCCACTTCTCTGTACCATTGGTAATCTAGTATTGATTTCAGTCTAACAGGTTCTCTCTTCTGAAAGGTGAACAGCCGCGTACTTCATCATTCAACTTGGATGAGACAGCAAACCAGGATGATGCTTATGATTTTAATACAGATTATGTGTAAAGACAAAAACGTGTATGCAAAGGCCTAATTTTGAGAAGGGCATTGCTAACTTTCTAAGCAGCTATGATCAGACTCTCCTTTGGCATCTTAGTGCTGCGAAAATCCTATGGGCCTTGTTTGTAAGAAGCTGCTGCAACAACCCAACATCTCTACTGATGTAAAAATAGAGAACACAACCGACGCATGATTTTCAAAATTAATGTTTGTTTACTAAAACAGTTTTGTAAATTTTGTAGATTTCTCTAAACATCTGTAAACTTACTAAATGAATCTTAAGGACTAAATAGCCTCTGAGTCTTATATGTACTATAGAAAACTTATTTCAGAAGAAGTTATTCACTACCTTTTCCATCTTGTAACTAAGGTGAGCATTAAAGTTGGCACAATATAAACTATGAAATTGCAGATATTGTTTTCACCCTCAGGCCATTCAGATCACAAATACCTATATTAGGAAGCATCTGATCCTTAGCAAAAGGTATCAAAGCACCTTCAACCAAGGTAATTTACAGTAGTACAAGTTTATATAGTTATTAAATAACCACAGAATTTAGTCTTGACTACATAGCTTCCAACACTTAAAGAAGCAACCAACCTACAACAATCTGTCTTGATTTAACACACATTTGATAAACCATGCAAAACAGCTTAGCACTAGGACTGCTTAGACACCCCCCCCCCCCCACAGGGCAGGGAGGTGACTTGAGTTTGATGTACTGTTTAATAATTCATTATAGGAGACAACTTACCTCCCTAAACTAAGTGACTACTTGACTCCATTAGTCAACTAGATTAGTCCCCTTCCCCCATCACACTTGCTGCCTCTATCAAAAAGAGGCAGCTGGGGGGGAGAAGAGCGTGCTGGGGGGAGCTGGCTTAAAAACTGGTTCCCTCCAGTGCTGTGGAAGGGGGCGGGGGCGATGTACCACATTTGAAATGTACAAGAGTTACTGCTGGGTCTTGCTATATTTCAAAACAGAAGCACCCTTATCGATCAATTGAATAGTTGATGGAAATTCCATTGACTATTCAATTAGTGGATTAATCTAATTTTAACATCCCTAGTCCAAAAGTGACATGCTACTATGCACAGCTGCTCTGTGACAACCCAATGCAATGCCACTTCTATGCTGTCCCTGTCACTTACATAGCCATCCGCATTTGAATTGTCTTCCTAACTGGAATATTTCTTGAAGCACTTGCTGCTGAAACCAGCTTTTTGTGGTTTTGGTACATGTGGAGTTCCCATACCAGACACTGAAGGATGCATTTCACCTAATCTAACAATTCTTGGACAGGGATGTAAACGGTTAACCAGTAAGTATCATCCTTGCCTGAGTGATGCCTGTCAGCAGCCTCAGCCCTGGTCCCGGGGTGTACTGCCAGTAGCAGCAGTGGCAGCCCCCAGGGCCAGGAGCATTCTTCTGGTGTCAGCAGCAGCCCCCTAGGACCAGAGCCCACTTATTTAAACTTTAGGTAAACTTAGGCTACATCTACACTGGTGCGTTCTCACGCAAAAACTCTTCCAGAAGAGTGTCTACACTGGCATGTGCAAGAGCATCCATGCCAGTGTAGGCACTCTCTTTCGCAAGAAATTCACGTTGCCTGTCTACACTGGCCTCTTCTGGAAGAGCTCTTGTGCAAGAGGGCTTATTCCTGAGCGGGCACATCAGAGTTCTCACGCAAGAAGCCCTGATTTTATACATTAGAATGTAAGTTTACTTGCGCAAGACCACACGGCCAGTGTAGACAGGCAGCAAGTTTTTGTGCAGGAGCAGCCGCTTTTGCGTGAGATCAAGCCAGTGTAGACACAGCTCTAATGTTTAGCCAGTTAACAGATTAATCTAGATTTTAAATCCCTAATCAGGGACCCCAGAGTGAGTCATACAATCCCCTTTGAATGGGGTCACCAGGCCTGGCTCTGTCTTTTTGGGGACCGGTGTCCACAGGTTCATGCTTAGGTAGCAGGGCTCAGGTTACAAGCATACTGCCTGGGATGGTAGGGTTCAAACTTTAGCCCTGATGCCCAGGGCAGCAGCTTCAGTTCCAGCTCCTGAGGTCATGTAATAATGTCAGAAGCAGACTATGGTGTAAAGTCTTAATGTGAATGGTCTACACACCAGTGTTTGTCAATGAGTGGTTCCGGAGAGCTCCCCAACAGCATTTAGAAAGCTGGTATCAAAAAGGTTGAGAAGCACTGGTCTACGCAACCCAAGAGCTGCATATCAATGACTGACTCATCTACAGAATTAAGAGTAAGGCAGTAGTTGGTCCTGCAAAAGTTATACAAGAGTTGCACATTTCATGTTTTTAATCTTTAGCTTAAATAATTTAACCTAGGCTTGAGCCAGTAAAATGCTGAACAGCTGCTACTTGAATTAGAGAACTGTTTGTGGAAGACCGTATAATTAATGCTATCCCAAACTAACTTAATGTGAATGTGTGATTTATTCTAGGATAAATCAACTGAGTAGTGCAGTAGGTGTCAACTCTTGTATTATATTTACCAGCTGGGAGTATATTTACCATGCTGTGACAACTCCTTAATAGAGCAGTGTTTCCCTGGTGTTTACTAGAAACCAGACAATCACAAAAACCGTGTTCCAGAAAGGACTATTACTGCTAAAGCTAACACGTTAAAAACAAGGTTATGGTTAGCCTCAACTGCACTATTTCTCTCAGTATTATGATGCACCATCCAAATGGCAGGAGAAATAGTTAATCACTAGATATTGCTTGTTTCAGGTGCTAGGAAATGACATGGTTCTAATTTGAAAATAAACCCTATACTTAAGACATTGTGCATTCTTTTTACAATTAATTCAAGTGTCTCAGAAAAATTCTTTTAATATATCGTTTCTTAATTGCATGCAAAATCTACCCAGACAAGTTTCCACGTCTAGATTAAATACCATTTTCAAGACCAGAATGAGTTTTAGATGCAGCTGATCCTCAAATTACTTGAACAATTAAACTTTAAAAATCATTTTATTTTTGAAGAAGGCTTAATATACTCCACAACTTGAAAAACAGTTTTTGGTAAGTGGCAATCATTTAAAAAAATTCAGAGTGAAATAATACTTGAGTAGCCTTTGAAAAATATAGATTAAGTTAATACACATCACGAGAAATGATTAAATATAAATAGCGAGTGGGTCTTCATGCAAGAGAAACTGGCTTTTATAAAGCTCATATCACAGAATATGGTAACAAGAAACCAAGTAGCAGCTTTTGATTATCATTGGAGTGCAAGATTTGCGTGTGGCAGTCACTCAGTGTTCCTAAGAACAGGAGACATTTATGTAGCCGACAAAATACTGAACCTAGAAGATTAGGGGTAGCCTGGAAAAATGCTATTGAAAGGAATTACCCAGCAAAATGCTAGTTTATGAAGGTGTTTCCCCACTCTTTGTAGTGTGGCTAGACTAAGTTTCCTCTGTCATATTTGAAGTAAGTCTCTTCAGGCATGCAGTTTGGTACAGTTAATCATTTCACCTAAACACATACCCTCCCCTGTGCTCCAAAGAAGCAAAGACTGCTGCAATATAAATCAGGTGAAAGAAACACTGCTGGCTCCAAGAGTTTCCTGAGAAAATGACAAGAGTTTGTAAATCCATTTTATTGGGCTTCATCGACCTCAGAGTGTCTGCGGATCAAGTTAAACTTGCCAGTAGGATCTGGGATGTACCACTTCTCCCAGACATCAGCATATGAAGCTGTTCTTCCCCAGGGTTTGAAATGCCCATTCCAATGCAGCAATTTAGCAACTTTCACAAACTGAGGAGAATATCTTTTTCCAGTGCTAGAGCCTTTTGTTAAAAGAGAAACAAGTCACAACTGCACATTAGAGCATGAAATAAAGGCAGTAAAATCATCTTAGCATGCACGATTTTAACTTCCCAGTTATGAGATGTAGATGTAACAAAGGATGGCTTTGGCTTCAATTCGGGAGGAGGGGGGTAACTGGCAAGTCAATCAGGCGTTAAGGATGTAACATGTAGACGATTAATGGATAAAACCAGGGCATATCAATTAATCCTGTCGACTACATGCATTCCCTTCTTGCTGCCTCTGTATCACAGGCGGCGACTACATGCATTCCCTTCTTGCTGCCTCTATCACAGGCGGGGGGTGTGGAAGGAGGGAACTGGTGCCTGTGGGGAATGAGCTTTTAAACCCGCTCCCCATAAGAACCAGATCTGCTTGCCCCTTTCACCCCCACGCTGCTGCCTCTGATAGAGGCACAACAGTGTGGTGTTTAAAGGCCAGCTCCCCCCAGCACCAGCTCCAGGGAGCCACAGAGCAGCCTCTGTCCATGGGGAGCTCGGAGTCCCCCCACAAAACAGAATGCTGCCGCAGAGAAGCCTTTCTCCACAGAAAGCTTGGACCCTGGCACCCAGGGGTGGCATTCGGGAGCCGATCTGCATGGGGAGCTGGTTTTTAAACTGGCCCCTCCTTGCAGTCCGGCTCCCACCTCATGCTGCTGCCTCTGATAAAGAGTGGGCCCATGAGCACACTGGCTGCCAGCCTCACCCCTGGGGACTATTGTGCTGCCGCAGAGAAGCCTTTCTCCACAGAAAGCTTGGACCCTGGCACCCAGGGGTGGCATTCGGGAGCCGATCTGCATGGGGAGCTGGTTTTTAAACTGGCCCCTCCTTGCAGTCCGGCTCCCACCTCATGCTGCTGCCTCTGATAAAGAGTGGGCCCATGAGCACACTGGCTGCCAGCCTCACCCCTGGGGACTATTGTGTAACCGCTGACATTTGTTGTGGTTACACAACTATTCAACATCCCTATCGGTCATTACAAATTAAGATTCTTGGGGTCAGATTCTCAGGAACAACAAAACCCTACTTTGAGCCATCTCTCCTATTCTGGGGCTGTTTTCTCCTTCCAGTGCACTTCAAAGCATTCTTAACGGCTGCGTTACTTGTAATAAAAAACAAAGTGTGCTGCCGAGGCATTTGAATTCAACTAGTACTAAACAGATTTCAAAGTTCTAGTCTTCCAAATAAATGAGAGCAACTCCAAATATACCAAATGTGTTTAATAATTTACAAAATGTGAAAGCAAGCTCAGCTTGTGCAAGTCCTTTGGCAGCTTAAAAAGCAGCAATCATTGGTTCTGAAACAAGCCTGCAGACAAGGCAGGGGCTCTGAAAACAGGATCATTGGTTCTGAAACAAGCCTGCAGACAAGGCAAGGGCTCTGAGAACAGGGAGTAAAGAAGAAAAAGATGCATCCCCATCACTCCCTTGGGGGAAAAAATGTTGCACAGCAAGAAGGAATAGGTCAGGCGTATATTTCATACATACCAAGATGTCGGACGTTCCACATGGGATCAATATTGGAATGTTTCTTGTAAAATACAATTAGCAGTGGTGGCGTGGCAATGTTACCTGCCAGAGTTCGGCTGTATAACTCCTCTCTAGAGTGGGAGATGAAGTAATTAGACCAGGGAGCAAATTACAAATGTGAAAATGTAAACAGTTAACCAATGGGCTCATCAGTTAACCTTCATGGTTACATGCAGGCTACACCTGTCCCTGCGCGCAGCGGCAGCAATATGGGGAAGCAGGTGTGAGCTGGATTTTAAGCTGGTTCCTATGGAGCTGCGGCCCACCCCACTGCCTCTGATACAGACTCAGCAGCTGTGGTGGGGGAGGGGAACGGGGCTGAGGGCGGTTTCACGGGAACCTTGCATAAGGAGTCAGCTTAAAAGCTGTCTCCTCGCTGTGTGAAAACGTGTAACTGCTGAATATTTTCAGTTGTTACACAATTACCTAAAACATATTTTAGCATCTCTATTGCAGGTACAGCCATAGAATAGCTTATTTTCATATAACTACTTCACGGAGGAAGAGCATGCTACATTCTGTCTGCTTAGTGACTTATATAGACCCACTGTCCTTCATTCCGGTGAATCTCTGTCACAGTTATGCAACCCCTGAATTGTCCATACCTGATTTCCACATACTTACGCTACATTAAGTGTCATCCATTTCTCCAATTGCTTAGTGATGTTCTGTAGTTTCCATTCTGTTAGATTGGCAACAATGATCCCGGGATTGAAAGAGCAGGTGCTGGCTTTCATGGCTAGTTTACGGATTGTTTGTTTCTTATAATCTAAAAATCCAATATAATTGTACTGAAAACAGAGCAGAAACTGGATTTTAGTTTTAACTGCTCCCAAATAAAATTTTATTTAAAATGTCCCCATCCTCATCCCCTTCTACTCTATCAGTTAATTTCTTCTTCAGTGCCCCGATAGAGCAGAGGATTACTGTGTGAATAAAATAGTTTCCCCTTCCTTTGGTACAGGATGAAGCATGTAGTTTAAAGAGGCACAACAATATGTAAAGCTTTGTCTATAAAAGTTTTCTTAATGCTTTCGGGAATGCTCCCTCATCTTAATACCTAAAATCTAAGATGTCACTAATGTCACCACTAGCTTAATCACATGTTTCTATGCAAGCATATTATACACACACAACAATTTATTTATAGACTGTTAGGGTCTGCACATTCTTTGCAGCAATGTCTTACTCCCATTGTACAGCACCGTTGTAAAGTCAAAGAGCTATAATTATGTCTCTACTTTTGAATATGATCTCAACTTGACTTTCAAATGTGTCCACAAACAACCGCAGCTGCAATACTTCAGGGACATTTTATAGCACTTAAACATCTGAATAACTTATCTGTGGGTACAGACAAACCTGATTCCCTGCTCCACGGACAGCAAATTTATTAGAGGTTGAATCACAGTCATCTGCAAATGCAGCTGCATGTCCAGGTTTCAGTGGTGTGTTGTAAAGTTCAAGGATATCATCTGAAAAAAATCAAAACACAAATATTGCTTAAGCTTTCATTCATATGCTTTTTGTACACCTTGTTCCAATGTTGATTCCAACACAATCTTACCCAACTCAAAACAGTTCGACATCTTTTTAAACAAGGAATAGGGCCAAGACAATTAAATATTTTAAAATATATTAGTTTAAATACAATACATGTTACATACAAATTTACATTATGTGGAATTATACCCTTTTAGCTCCTGCAGCGCAAATTCTACTCTGGCGAAATCACCCTGCTGCTCACTAGGGACCTGAGCCAACTCCTCAAAACAACAGAAGCTGACATCAAAACAAAGGTCCTTTGTTTGAGAAATGGATTTTTTTTACATTAAAAATCACACACAATACAAAGGGAGTGACATGAAAAATAGAATCTGCAAAGAAGTCAAGTCCCTTGTTTCATGCTGCGGTCTTGTTAGGTAAAGAAT